TTGAAGGGATGAGATGCTTTTGGAGGTTTAATGATCCAGAAGATACCAGACTCAGATGTTACTGACTGTGTACACAAGGCAAATAACAAGTTAAAGCTGGTTTGTTGTTGACATGTGTAACTTGAGGCTTTTAAAAAAAGTTTGTTTCATTTGTTTGGCTGAGCTGACAGCAAGAGCACAGTTTATTTCATTGGGCAGTAAGAAGGGTCTGGAGCTTCTGACTTGGCATCCCCTTCTGAGTTCCTGGTGATCAGTGTGCAAGAAGCCCTGGAGATACATCAATATCTCTTGACCAGCTGTCAGTGGAAGTTAGATTACTGTGGACCAGTAGAAGGAAAGATGCAGCCCTGTGACAGTGAACTCAAAGTCTTTTCAAAGCATTAGCAACTCTACCTGAGACGGGCACTTGGCTGTGTTGCTCAGGGCATATTTCTGCCAAGAGGTCACAAGAGCCTGTTCTTTCTTGGATGCATGAGACTGATACCACAGCAGAGAGGAACTGCCTTGGAGCTGGGGAGAGAAATCCCACTGCCTCTAATAACAGCAAACGATGTATCAAGCAAGGGGAGGTTGTAACACCACTGGGTGTGATCACAACTTAAATTCCAGTTTGTGCTTGTGGTTTTTTTTTCCAGCTAGTGCTTTCAGTGTGTTACTAATTCTTCTTTATTTTAGTGTTTGGCTTGCAGAGAGCAAAATCTTGCCAATCTATCTGGTTCCAGATCAAGTTGTTTTTTGGGTAGCTGGGTTATATTTAATCTTTAATAGTGATTTCTGTTTTTCATGTTTCTTATGAATTTACTCTCTACATCTAGACAGACATAGTCATGGAAGTAACTTCATGCAGTCTCCTGTTTCCCTTCACTGTACATGTTCTTTGAATAGAGAAGCTGAAGAATGGCTAAATAATTTATTATTTTGACACAGTAAGAACAATTTGTTACTAAGCATGTCATKCTTTGTTACTTCACTTTATCTTCCCCTAAGTCTGTCTCATTGCCTCAGTGCTAAAGAAGAAACTGTCAGAGGTCTTCCTGAGGCTCTCCAAAAAACATTTTTTAAATACTTCTATATTAACCGTGTTACTTCTGAAGTAAAGGTGCCTTCTCTGCAGAGTAAATGGATTTAATGTCTTAAAAAAGTGTTAACACTTCTGCTTTCTCCTCCCACATAGGAATTCTTTTGAAAACTTTGCAAGCCCTCATGCTTTGAAAATCTTGGTCTTTCTTGCTGTTTTATTAAGAGGTGTTCTAATTTGTCTTGCGTTGCTTTTGATGATGAGATATTGTAATCAACAGTGTATAGGAGCCTTGCGCACTGGTTGTTCTTTAGGTGGTTTTGAATTTATGTCTGTTGTCCTGCTGCAGGGACCTGAGCCCAGGGACACAGGTGGTGACTTCTCAGTTTTTTAACAGCACGGAGGTGGAGCCCCAATTCTACAAAACTGTGTAACTTATTTGGAATAGCTTTAGTGATGATTGTCTGAAATGGGATGTGAGTAGGCTCTGCTCACAGTAGGAGGAAGGAGCTTGAGTCCTAAATAATCCATCTGATCTTAGTCTGTGTTATCAGACTGAACTTCTTGTAGAATGTTTTTACGTTCTGYTGTGTGTGGTTAGTCTCCTGAATACATTATCCTGACCTCGTGCTTTCTTACTGTAATGCATACTCTGGCACATTCCTCTCTGCAAGTCATTGTGTGTTTATAGGCACTTGCCATTTCTGAAGTGCTGCTCCACCCAGTATTTGTGGCTTGGGGAAATTGCATGTACTCGCTTCTGTGTACATCCTTAGCTTTATGAGAGTGTAGTACTGGGTTTAAAAGGCTCAACAGGGCCATTTGCTGTAAAACATCTCAAGCAAATTCTCTTTCTTCATGACAGTCTCTGCAGGACTGGCCTACTTGAACCTGAGCTGTGACCTTGAGAATTTCATAAGGGCTGAGATGACAATGTTGAAACCTGAGCAGTGAGCAAGGCTATTTACTCCATGTGGGAGGAGCTGAGCAGACTGCTGGCAAGTGAGGAGGTGCAGCCAAGTACAGTTGCCAGTAGTGTGTGGGGAGCCTTGGTGCTCGTTCATAACCACTCTAAGGCTTGCCTCTGGAATTACTCCTCAGCTAAACTCCACTGTACTTGGAAATACCAGAGAACAGAAGAATATTTGGTGAACAAAATTTGTCTGTCTAAACTGCTCTCCAACTTGTAGCCTTATGGTTTAGGTATAATTTTTTCTGAATTAAATATCTGTGCTGAAGGCAAGTATATCTTTAATATACTTTTTATTAAATAGGAGAAAACCACTTTTACTTCAAATCCAGATATGAGAATCAGGTATTGGATAAAACCTTCTTAGGTATGATACACTAGCTGTTTTCTTTTTCTGTTTTCTGCATGCTGCAAAGAGTGTGTTTATACTTCATGTAGAGAATTATTTATGACCTTTTCATGGACTGGGGGGGAATTCTACTGGAAAAGGTAGTGATGTCGAAATGACAAGGCAAATTACTGTCAAAATGACAGGGCAAGTCTGAAAAGCTTRTGCCTTTCTCTACTACACCAAGTTTTCCTTCCTCCTTCTTTTCTCTTTAGCTTTCATAGAGTTTGTTTTTAGAAGATTTTGGCTTTTCCTTGAGTACCTGYTAGGGGAAAAGGATTATTTTTTAATTTTGCATCACTAGACATACTCTTAGTTGTATTACTACATCAGTATCAGTTTGTACAATGTGTCATTATTCTAAACTTCTAAAATCTATATTAAAGGGATTRTTATAGTTAAGATTTCTCATTTGAGTAGTCCAGATAGATTTGATTTGAGTTAGTTTCCATGCTGGGAATTCATCCCTGTAGAATTTAGAKAGGTCTTTTTTGATAAGACTGTGTTTTTCTTAGCTGTAAATATTTTTCCACTGGAGAAATGTTTTAAAGGTAAGAACAGGCTTTGTCGAAAGTGTTCATGAGTTATTGGAACTCCATATGTCTTCTATTTGACTTTATTTTTACACTGAGATTGACATTTTRCTCCAGGCAATATCATGGAAGAATGTCTTATGCAGAGGATTGTGATTTGTTCTTCAGCCAGCATTTACTATTAAAGAAGCCCTGATTCAATATCTAATGTGAGAAATGCATTCTGTCCTTTGGTAAAATGGTTACATTAAGTAAGTTTTCCTTCTCTAAAGAGATGTTCAACAGATTGAGAATGGATTCTTCCCCTTGTGTGCCCCCCTCCCCTCCTGCCCCAAGRTACATGAACTAAATATTGAAGTCATGTAGGGGTTTTTGTCTTCCTACTGATGTAGGTGTTTCATGAAACACAGAAACCAGGAAACCTTTTTTTCTGTTTGAGTGGTCTAGTGCCTCTTATCATGACTTAAATTTTTATCATGAAAAAACTCACCTATTCATGTACAGATACAGTGCAGCACACCCCTGATGCCTTTAGGGTAAAGTGCAGATACTTTGCTCTTTATGCAGGCATTTTCTGCCATATCTGACTTCTGCAGTTGGACTTGACTGTAGTTCTGTTTGTGAGTATCTGAAAMTGTAAATTTCTAAGCTGTGTATGAGAGTGCATTTAGTAAGCATCAATTATTAAGGCCCTGGAAATTCATATCAAAAGGGTAGAAGGCTGTCTGAGATGTTAGTCTATGGTCGTGAAGTCTGATTTCATCAGTTGATGGATCTATTCTTTCTGAATTTATTTTCACAAAGGGGAGAAGTAGAAGAAGGATTTAGGGGATTTTTTTTTGTCCTTTGTGGGGACGGGTTGAGGAGGTGAAGGAGGAAGCTTAAATTAGGTTTTTTTTTTTTCTTCCTCTGTTGCGGTGGTGAGGCAGAGTCATATTTTGGTAAAACGCTCAGAGCCTGCCTCTTCTGTGTTGCTTTTGAGTTAAAGTAGAAGGTGTTTAGAATACCTGGATAGCAGCTTCCTTGACAGGAGAGAGCCTCATAGAGGGGAAATGTAACATTATCCATACTGAAATTACTTTTATCTACCCAAAGAGTTCAGTTTCAGTTCTAAATGGAGAAAAGGGCACAGGAAGGAGAAAGAGGTATTTTAATCTGTTCCTGTTTACAGTTTGGCTATATGAGCAGTGTCAAGAGACCTGAGAGGGCACGGAGAGAAGTAATGGAAAGGCCTTCAGTATTATGTTGTTTCCTCAAACCCTTGGAAGTGTAACCACATTTTAGTGAGGTGAACATAAGGTGGCAGAGAAGAGTAAGCTGTGAGGGAACCTGGTGGGCTGGCAGCCGTGGTCAGTAGGGCCCAGCAGCGGGAGGCAGACACGCACCAAGCGGTGTGCGGGTGTCTGATGGTGGAGCCTCCTCTCCCATTAATCTGTGTGACCCAGCCATTCCAGTACAAGACATGGAAACCTCAGGGTACCAGTGTCAGCAGAGCGCTGTTCTGGCCAGGGTCAAAGCCCTGACTCTGAAAGAGGAGATAACAGCCCCATTAACTGGGCAAGATAGGTCTGTAATGAGAGGATACAGTTCCTTCTGTGTGTAAAGAGAGTTCTACTGCAGCTTTCTCTAGATTTTAATTAGAAAAAAAAAAAAAAGAAAATGCATATTCTGAATAGATTTGGACCAAGGTATTTGCCCTGTTTTGTAGAGCTTATATGGAGCTGTGTTTATCAAACCAAAACCAAAAACAAAAACAAAACCAAAAACCAAAACCAAAAAAAAGGTGTTCTCCCTTCTTGCATTTCCTCCTCATTACCCTTCCATTCCACTCCTTTAGTTTTTTAGCTGCTTTTTATGTTGCTTTTGGGACACCTGGACAAGGACTGCTTCAGGTGAAAGTGTGGCACACAGGATTGAATTAATGGAGACAGCCCTGAATACATGATGATCAKCCAGATTTTCCTACTCCTTGTGCTTAAGTGAATCGTGTTTTTCATATAGTATGTAATGGTTTCTATAGATGCTATCCATGCCTCATTTTTTTTCTGGTATCTCTTTTTACRTATTTGTCTTATATTGGAAAGTTAGCTATACTTCTTTGCATAAGGAAATTGAGTAAATAGTATTTGAGGATTAATCACATTCATGCTATTATTGGTTTAATTTATGGCATGTTTCATTTTGTAAGAACAGGAGTCCTCTAGTAATGGAGTAGGGTAGAATTCAGATTCTTATTTTCAAGCCAATTCTCGGTGTCTTATTGTCTTGCTTTTAGCAGAGAAGGTTTCAAAATCTGCTTTGTCAGAAATAAGGTGTGATGGGGAAAATGGACCAGCAGACAAACACCAAATGGGAAGGAAGTTCCAAATATGGAAAAGGGTGGCTGTGCACATCAGTCATCATGGGAAAGAGGCTGATGATGTAACGAGCAGTGCATGAAGGAGGTTAGGCAGAGATTATTAGACTTTATTCTGGTAGCTGCCAGCAGGAAGAGTTTGGATCAGCAGATTTTTAGTCTTGAAGCACAATTTACTGCAGTCTCTTTTTTATGTYAAAATTTAAGTTGGTCCATTTAAGTGTTTTATTCACTGCATAGAATATTTGGGGCATTAATAATAAAAAGCCTTTTTTTGTGGAGATTATTTAGGGCAGTTCTTCCCAGAGTGGCTGGTTTGTATATATGAATATGGGAGAGTTTTGAGAAGACAAAGCAATTGCCTCACCTTTTAAATAAACAGAAGAATTGAAGATGTAGAGGCCATGGCAGTCAGTTGATAAAAACTAGTTAGGTGAGTGCCTGAACGGGAAAATTCAACGTGGCTGCATAATGCAAACCATTGACTCCCTTTTCAGATTCCCATGGTGTACCGCAATATCAAATAGGGCAGCCACATAGCTCATGAGTTGTCCTTTGTGCAGTATCAATTTGGGACTTCAAAGAGTAACAGGAGTTTGATTTAAGGAGTCCTTAAAACATAAATACCATTTTTCTGTGTTTAGCAGTGAGTAGGGCCAAAACTGAGAGGTAAAAAATGAGATATGGTGTGTTTCTAGAAAAAAAGGAGCTGAAGCAAAACCATTCCACTTTAAGCATTCTAAGGGCTTTGATGAGAGGAGTATAATATTGCTTGGCTTGCTGCTGATTTGGCAGCCTCTGTCTCTTCACTGCATTTTTCATGTGCGCCCTTCGTTTGTTTCTTTTTTTTCCCCCCTCTTTTGTATCTTACTCATCAGAATGTGAGGTAAAAGGCTGCTACTGCARCACTCTTTTTCCAAGCAGCTTATGCTAACCAGCTTTCACAGAGAACATAATCCTTACACAAACACCTTAACTCATGAAGGAAGAGGGTCCAGTGCGACGTAGGTTTTCTTCATGTGCTGGGATTTCATCTGTGTTTTCTCCAAGAGCTGATGGCCGAAAGCTTGTCCGGAATGCTTCATTTGGCGGATATAACGAGCTCTCTCCTGCTTTTCCAGGTTTGTTTTGGTCTTGCGTTTCTAAAAATGTACAGAAGCGAATACAATTTCCACCTCAAAATTTTTAAGCTTGAACGAAAGTAATGTACTGAAATGTTGGTRGAAATCAGAAAGATTATTTGCTTGCAGGCATTTAGATAACTCTTTGTTGTGGCAAGATTTGCAGACAGGCAAAGAAGTAAGTTAGCTTTTACACTGCTGCAAATCTCACTTTAAAATGCATTGGTGTATTTGAGACTGACTGGAATGTTTGTTTTGGTTGTTTGGGCTTTTAGGACTGAGGTTCTGTGATGTGGTTTGTAAATGCCTTCCTCTTTTGTACTTTCCACTGCCCCTCCRCTCCACGACAGCACACACGTAATGGATTTGCTTTAAAATTGTAAGGTACAGCAGAAGGTTTTAATTTAGCTGTAACAACTGAAAAATGTTCAGGCTGGTCATGAGAGGTTTGACATAAAATGACAGGATAGAAAATGAGGGCTAAAAACATAGCCTTGCTAAACTCTGTAGTGCGAGATTTTTAACACTTAAAATCCCTGAGAGGGCTTGAATCTCCTTTTGCTCAGATTTATTTCCTGAACATCAGTACTGGAATACTGAAAGGACTTCGTAGAGTTTCATTGTTCATGATGTGCAATTATGACATGGGTATCTGAATTTCAGCAATTTCAGAAAGCCCAAATGGTTAAAAATGTGTYACAAGGTCATCCGTTCCTGGAAGGGGACGTAGTAGAAATTGTGTGTTCCTTCCAGAATTGCTTTGGATGTGTGATTCGTCTTGTGCATGCGCACAGATGCACTTTATTGTGTAGTCCCAAGGGGCTAGAATGTTGGGGGGGGAAGGAGAAGGGAGGAATAAAATAGTTTTCACTTTCGACTGTGTGCCCCCTGCAGCATGGCTCACTGAACTTGTAAGCCCTGGTTGTGAAGCCCTGGAGCTGAACTGGGTGCAGAGCATGGGGGAGGTTACAGACTGGTCATTAGGGGGTCTCTGCATCACTGGCCCGTGCCAGCTTGCAGAATCATTGGAGCACCAYGCTCAGCCACGGGAGTGAGAGTTGTTACAGACACCATGTTTGATTAAACTTGTTTTGTCCTGGAATGTGTCCTTTTACTCTGCTTCAGRAAATGATTAATGTTCTACCAAGAATCTAACACTGAGTTTTATTCAAGCTGCTTGTGAAATAAAAGCACTCAGAGCTTGAAAGCATGGGGTTAGCAACTGGACARATCTTTCCTACCTTTAAAATAAATACATGTAGTCTAGTAATTAGTAAAACAAAAAGGGTTTCGATTTKTATTTGCTTCATTTCTGTATGGAATTCTGCAGTTACAGCTGATCACTGTTCATAAGCAGACAATGGTGACTACTTAAAATGCAGGATAAATGGAAAGCAATTTTTAATTAAAAAACTCGAGTACATAGAATTAAAAAATTCTTTCTCTTGGAATCTTCACTATATCTCTGAAGCATATAAACATTCCTAATGTGTTTATAAACATTCTTTATATACTCTCAGATTGATTTAAGCAAAGGGTAAWTGTCTGTCTAAAAGATACTCATGGATAGTTACAGTGATGACTGTCTTTTGKTTTTTGTTTGTTTTATTTTCTAATATGGTGCTTACAAAAGATAACACAACTGTGAGAAAATACAAAGAAGGACTTTGCTTACTTTTCTGATCACTGCAGTTTCAAAGTCCATGGAGGAATTTGAATTAGATGATATGGGATTGTATTCTTAAATCTGGTTGTCAACCAGCTTTTTAAAGTCAGTCARTAGTTACAAAACTATTGTTTCATGTGTTCAGTTCTTTAAATTTTTTTTTCCTCTTTTTTTCTGATGGGTTTATTATAAAGTACCACTATTGATAATTCCCACTAAGTACAGCTCATAGTTCTTCCAGAGGCATTTTCCAGCTCAGTTATTTGTTCCTCACAATGGCACATGCACTCCAGTAATCAAATCAGACTGTTCCTTTCTTTTCATTTGGAAGTCAGTAATGTTGTTGCTTGGATTACTCTTTGTTATATCTTTTCATGAATTCCATTTTCTTTTTTTCATGCATTCCATGGGTTTTTCTGTATGTTGAAAAAAGAGCCTCCAGTGAATAGTAATTATTTCTTTTATGGGTAAAATAGATCTGACATTAAAAAGCAACATGAGTTTTTAATGTATTTTTCTTATGTACTATAATTGCAGATGGCATTTGTTGAGATGTACAAAACCAGTCTTTGAGATGTAGGAGTTATTCTGTGGTTGGTTTTGGTTTTTCCCTTCCTTCAGAAGGGACAGATTGTGGGTGCAACTTTAAGAAATAATCCCCGTGTTACGCTTCAAAATGGACAGTTTTGTTTGAAACCATACCCTGCTACAGTCTTTATCCTAAATAGTCTTTAATCTGACAGTGTATATAGCTTCGGTTTTTGTCAACAACAGTGTTTAGAAGGATTTAYTTTTTCTTTTGGTATTGACTACATAATCTGGCTCAGTCTCTAAAGAATAACTGATTTTTTTATTTTTTTATTTTTTGTTGTTGTTTGTTTTTTTTGTTTCATCAGCTGCTTGTGTGCATGGATTCTGGTTTTTCTGTCTGGCTCTTGCATCTGTCTGAAAGCTCCGAGTGAATTTTAATGTAGATTTTCACCTGCAAGTTTTGGAAGACCTCTCTGAGTGCCCACAGTAGGAATGCACTAATGGACAGTTTCCCTTGGCTTCTAAGGTCATACCATGARCTGAAGCTGACTGCACTGGCATTGGGATCAGCTTTCAGAGCCCATGGGACCTGTGCTGTTAAGATAAGGAAGGTCACACTGCCAGAAAGTCTCTTAGATGTAGTGTTGCTTTGGACACAGTCCCTSGCGTTCAAAACTGCTTTAGCGAGTGCAGTAGTGGTGCTCCTGGCTCTAAAGATGGCTTTCAGGATTGCAGATGGAAAATATACGCAAATTCAAAGGATTTAATAGAGAGGAAATTACAGAAATGGACTGTGTCCTCAGCACCTGAATTTCTACATTGTGAGATGTGAGCTCAGGTTATTTCATTACAGTTGCCGATTGAGTTACAAGATGGGAAAGACCAAGTAAGCTAAAATATTCACTTTTTTTTATTGCACCCTGCTTCTAGCCTCCTGTGCCCTGGCAGTGTGTGCTCCAGATAGCTGTCTGTATTGTGTGCTTATCCCTCTGTAGAGAGGGAGGTTACAGGTAGGATAGTAGGGGATGCAAAGCTGTTTGATTGGGTTTCCTCACAGATGGAGATGGAGCAGTKCCAGATGTTCCTGCAGGTGCAGTACCCTGACTTGGCTTTGCTAGTGAAGCCGTGAGACAGCCCTTTTCTGTGCATGGGGGTGAGGAAGGGAGCAGCTGGTGTGATGGCACKTTGGTGAATCAGCTGGCATGCACACCTCTCCAGCCTGACACTGAAAGCAAGGAGATGGAATTCATGGAAACGCAACTGAACTTTGGTCTTCTCTGGGACAGAATAGCCCTCTGTCTCGTATCATTTCTTCTTGGTGATACTGATGCAAAGCTTGTTTGTGAAAATAAAAATGTTTGCTAAATAAGGGTGTGTAAAGTCTTGGAAGCTGTTGTGCTTCAGAAAGCAAGCTTTGAAATACAGCTCCTGTAAGAACAATCCTGAGTTAGCAATTCCTCATGGATTCCCCTCACTAAGTCTTCTGTATGTGCCATTAAATAAATTTTTAAAATGGGAAGTCATTAGAAAATGTCTGCATTGCATTTTCAGCGGGACTTGATTCCTATTGGAGAATTTCTTTTGGGTAGAGGATGAGGAGAAAGTATCTACTATGATCCTGGTGTGTGTTTGACTGCCTGAGACTGGAATTGAATCTAGTAACTTCTAAGTGAACTAAGCCAAGTATAGCCTCTCAGGCTTTAAGCAGCCTTTGCTTTGTTTCATGCCTGATAACTAGTGCTGTAGAAAACGTGCTTTTGCACTTGGTATTATATAGGAAATGTGGTTTCTGGTCTCTGAATTTTTGGTGGATTCCCTAGTACTGAAAATCTACCTGTCAAGGTACGTCTTCCCTGTTGTCAAATGGTGTTCATTGTTCCAGGTTTTCATTAGCTGRGCAAACCTATTGCTGGTGTGTTGGAAGAATTTCACAATTAAGGGTTTAATGAGCTGTGCCCCAGTGGGGCTTCTATGAAGACATATAAAAGTTGTTTGTAAAGGCATGCAGGGCTTCCTGTCTGACAACATAAAATGAGATACTGTACTGCATTATATAATCTAAAAAATCTGGTCCTAAAAAAAAAATCTGCAAAAGCTAATAAATACAAAGGGAAGAAAAATCCCAGAAGACTCATTCCAACCAAAATCAAGGGCAGTCTCAAGATTTCTTGTGTAACCTGGAGATCATCCTAATGCCTCTAACTCCATTAATCTTCCCAAGAGGTGAAATTGTGACAAGTGAATCAATTCTGTCTTAGAGTTTCTAGATAATATAAGTTGTGGAAGAGTGAAGATAATAATTTTTTWAAAAACTAAAATTCCTGCAATGGACAAATTGCCCAATACTGCTACAGTTAATAAAAATTCTTTCAAAGCTCATAGTTTCCCTTCACATACACACATCTGTCCACTGAAGAATGTGAAATCGAGGAGTGTCTCTGGTAAGGCTTCTCATTTTGGGGATCAGGTTCTCAGTATATGTTCTGTAACACATAGCAGCTCTGTGGCAGCACCCATACCAGTTGTCACCCTGTTTTCCATTGTCGCACATACATTGATTTACTTGGCTTTTGCTTTTTGGATGTTGGGGAATTGTGGTGTTTGTGAGTCACAGAAGAAAAATGTGGGATTTCAACGACTCTTAATATAAAGTCTTGTAGTTATGCTTCTTCAGTGTCAAGTTGAAAGTATAAATTCAAGGCTACTGTAAGGAAATTTTTCCATTTCATGCAAAAAAAWTCTGATTGGTGATTTTGATCAGATTTGCTTTCATGTAGGTGGTATTTAACAGTTATCTAGCTACAGAAATGAACAATCAAAGAAGAGGCTTTATTTAGTACTCTGCTTTGTGCCTGCATGGGGAGAATGAAAAAAAAAGACAGAATTTGGCACATTGTATATTACAGTTCATCAGGTTGTTGGATCAGCTGCAGCATTATCCAAATACAGTGGACTGTTCTTGCCTCATAATGGGTATTAAATTAGTGTATATTGTAGTAGCTGGTACATTTTCAACTGATGAGACACATTGATATGTATGTTATTTGGAAAATGGATTTACTTGTACTTTTTTATGCTAAACACATTGGCAAATTTATTTCAAAGGCTAGCTCATGTAGATTGTTAATGCATTTAAATAATTTGCAACAATTCTCTTTTTCTTTAAGGTTTTGACAAAGGGAAGGATGATGTGTCACAAAGTAAAGATGAGGCAGCGTATTCTATGTCAAAAAGCAAGGTAAGGAAAACAACCTCTTGATCTGACTTAAAAATGTTGGTGTGTAAAGGAGTTACGGATTTTTAATTAAAGGCAAATGTATTTAACTGTTGTTGTAGATAATCTTGAAGATTACTCTTCAGGTCTGGCAATAGGTAAAGGGAATTTCTTAATAGAGTTCTGAGGATGACATCACATGAAAATCTGTAGTTTCAAAGTAGTGAAAATTAAATATGGAGTTTTCTTGCTGTTGTCTTGGACTGGGTTGTTGCCTTGCCATAGAATTTAAATTGCTCTGCCACAAAATTTAAAGGCTCTAATTTACTCAGCTGTGTGGTTTTCTATTTTCTGCTAAGATGTCCACAGTCTCTTTGCAGAGGGAAATGTGGTAACAGATACTTAAACAGATTGTCAGGGTTCAGCAGGTGTGGGTTGCTCTGGAAGTCAAGGACCTGAGCTTGAGCACAGCTAACTCCCAGGGGGAAGGGAGAAATGCCTGCTTTTTGCTGCTTTTGCACACAGCTCTTCCCATAGCACTCTGTCCTTGGCACAGGCAGCCACATCCCTTGGAGATATGGTTTGCACTTGAGGTCTTGACACAAATTTTTCTGTGATATTTGAGGTTTCTCTATGCAGCTCTGTAATATAGATATACATTACAAAGATACTGAAGGATAATGAAAAGATTATAGTAGCATTTCCTGCTTAAATGGTGTTGCTGAAATTGCAAAGGGAAAAGCAGTTTAGTTCTGCAGCTGATGCCACAGTTTTGTGGTGTGTAGTGAAGCATTTCAAACTATTTGTGTCTTACACGTGACACACTTCAGTGCATTCTAGAACCTCACTTGTCAGGGATATCAAGGAAGTTTACCATCCAGCTTTCTTCTGATCAAAATTTTATGTTGGTTCAGAAACCTCTAAATCAATTTGACGTGGAAATCAAGTTCATATGGTCTCTTTTGACTAGACTTTATTCCAGAATCTGAAGAATCATTTCTCTTCGACTATCCAATTCCTTCTCCTGGCTTGGAGAAGAAAAGGTTCTTGGCTTTCCAGGATCTTAAGTCTATGTGTTCTTTGCTATTACATTTTTGTGTCTTTCTACTATCAAAGATGAGACCAGTATTCCTACTTGAGCTAATACATGCTTATCTTCACCTTTTTTTTAATTACTGCRTGTGGGGCTTGATTATACAGTGGAAGTGAAATAGCAGCCCTTCTTTTTAAGGGAGAATGGAAAAGCAGTGATGGGACTTGCCTGGAATCTGGTACTTAATGTGTCTTGCTGGGAGTTACAGCAGGTTCTCTTAAAGTGTTTCCTTCTAAATTTTTTATCCCATCCACTTTGTGTCGATGTAACACTGAGAAAGTTACTGGCTGAAAAATACACACTGACCTGTCTGATAACATTGAATATATAAATGTAGACTTTTGCTCAGGTAAGAGTAAAAGCTTTGAAACTGAGACAATGAGAAAATGAGTTTTTGTAGCCTGTGAAACTTACTGTGTTGGGGTTTTTATATGCATGACCTTTAGATTGCCTTAGCTTTCTGTTAGTGAACAACTAGAATATTTATGAATGCTTTGCTAAAGTTGCTCCATTATAGCTTGCATAATGAGTTCATTAACTCTTCTTATGTGACAGTGATAAGCATTTTTTCCCTCTTCTGTTATTACATTTGCAGTACTGTATTTCCTTTAAATTCTAGAGAGAGGAATTTAATTTCAAGTTGTACCCTCATTTTAAAGCTTAATTTTGAGTGTCAAGAACATACCTTAATTGCAAAACGAAGAGGTTTCCTTCCTTTTCCCAAGACAGATATAGAAGTTAAAGAACATTTACTTATCTCTGAAATAATTTTGAGCTAAAATTACTTTTTGCCAATTATTGCACATATCTTTTTTACAGTAGCTAAGTAGACTCCGGTAGAGTCTTAGTTCTGAATCAAAGATGTCAAAGTAGAATCCAGGTTAAATTATTTTTAATACAGCTTGTGAATCTTTAGGTTTTGTTTCTTTTGTTTGAGCAGCTTGTGAATCTTTTAAAAGAGTGCTCAAGTGCACTGTTTTTATTATTGCAGTAAGTTTTCCTCAAAGCTTGCGTATTTCTTGAATGTTGTTTTTTAATATTCCAAAATACAAATTCAGTGAACAGACTTTGCAGTGTAGTTTGAGATTTTAAGTGTGGAACATCTTGAAGGTCAGTTTCAATAAATTGTCCTTGAATTTGAATTGAATACACAGTTTAGAATGTTACATTGTTGGGGGGGGTGTTTGTGGTTTTTTTTTTGTTGGTTGGTTGGTTGGTTTTTTGTTTGTTTTTTTTTTGACAATGCAGAAAGTTTGGGTCCACCAGTTTTATGCTTCAGTGCACAAAGAAATACAAATCTTTGTGATTTATCTGAAGTTTGTATATAGTGGATAGCTAGTCATATTCTCTCACCTCCAATAGGAATTATATGAAACCTCTATCACAGACTCTTCCTTTTCCCATTTTTCCCCTTCTAAAAAGCGCTGTTTCCGAAGGGAGTATTTGGTGGCTTGAGTTCCCTTTCAACTAGGAGGCAAAAAACACCTAGGAGCAAACTTTGAACCTTAAAAGGCATGGGGGGAGAGGCAGGGGGAGAAATCACGTGGTGCTGAGGCAGCTTATTGTCCTGCATGAGCAAGACTTGGGTGTCACAAACACAAACCTGGGTCTCAGTCCTGCGTGACACCACTGTGAGCTTCTTGGTGACTTGCAAAATAATCGGAGCATGGAATTAGGGAGCAAGGAGCAGAACAAGTGCCATTAGTGGGCAGTTCTACTCTGATGATTTATAGAGCCCTGAATCCTAGACTGAAGAGGCTGTATTTTCCTTCATGAGTCACAGGGTAAGTGCCTCTATAGCAGTCCATCTGGAAAAGCTTGCGGATGAAGACAACTGATTCTGTATTCTGATTTGTATATCATGGGAATGGCTCTTGTGTTAAAACACCAGGATTCTCCTAAAACATTCTCTCTCTTTTAAAATAATGCCTAACCATTCCAGCACGCTCTATCTAGTAACAGTCTACACTAAATAAATACTTACGGTGTATAGGTTAGCTGCTTCCAGAGGAATCTCAGACTTCTTTCCCATAAAACCTGTATGAAAAGAGACTCCATGAATAGCTAGTGAACAGCTCACGTTACAAGTTATGGTTTGGTGGTTTGTTTGTTTTTTTTTAAAGGGGAAAGCAGCAGAGAAGTGAGTGGGAATGGGAACCTTAATTGCACTTCAAACACTTTTCTAAAGTACATCAGTAATATATTCTTGTATCTGTCATTRTCATTTATTTATTTATTATGTATGTTTTGAATTGCAGTCCGAATCCAAGCTTTTCAATGGCTCTGAGAAGGACATCTCTCAATCTTCAAGCAAACTTACAAAAAAAGAATCCCTCAAGGTGAATTATTTTCCTAGTAACTCCTCATGGACTATAAATACATTCACATAGTTTTACCTTAYTCTCTAATGAGAAGACAAAAAAGCCAAATAATGATGAGACCTATGGAATATTAAAGTGTGAGAAGTTCATGCTGTTGGGTCTCTTCAAATTTTACTGTATTTTTGTATGAATAACGGGCTTCTGTAATACAGTCTCTAAGATGGCGCAACATTGTAGAATAACTCAGAAGATGATAGGTTAATTCAGATTGGCAGAGATGTCAGGACRTGTACATGCAGTGAAATGACAAATTCAATTATCAAAAGTACCATTTGAATGTATTTCTACTACTTTCTTCCCCCTGTGTTTTCGCAAGACTAAACTCCACTGTTTGGCAGATACCRTTTTAGGAGAAATGTAAAATTATTTGACTCCAAGTGAGAGATACATTGCTGCAAATTTCTCCTGGGAAGGAAACATAACTTAAGACCACAGATCAGATAATGTACCTATAAGTTAGGACCTAGTTCAATTTTGGTTCTATACCTTACACCAGGAAAGGAAGAGAGGAGGAGGTTGATTGGGTTGTTTTTTTCTCCCCTTTGATTCCAACAGGCATTTCAAAGTCCTCAGTTTTAAAAGAAAATTGCAGAAGAATCTGAAATTGGCTATATCTTAGCTGCTTGTGAAGTAATTGTTTTTACCTTGAAGTCAAATAATCTGTTTTAAAGCTATTTTTCTGTACCTGTATTGCAAATTGAATTTAGCAAGCTTTTCCTCAGCTTGTATTGCTTAATGCCTTTTTGTGCTGGTAACTGGCTTATGGCTGTGACATTGTAAATATTTTTATTGTTATTTACAGGTTCAAAAGAAAAACTACAGGGAAGAAAAGAAGAGAGCCACRAAAGAATTACTTAGCACGATCACGGACCCCTCAGTTATTGTTATGGCTGACTGGTTGAAGGTCAGAATCCAAGTGTGAAACCTGAGTTGAAGATGGAGCAGTTGCTTGCTGCTTTCTGGCCAGAATAGAAAAGGCTCAATCTTTTACTTGCTGTTAATGTTTTTCTACAGGCACGGCAGCCACTAATTGCATCCCAAGGTCTCTGTGCTCAAATCCTAGAGGACTAATAGGGGAGCCTAGCTCCCACTTACTGCAGGCACCCTAGTCACATGCATCTTGTGTCTGTAGCCATCACCTTGGGATGAGTTGGCTTCRCAGTTCTCATTTTGTGCTTCTCATTTGACACTTTGAAGTGAAACTCCGTTACATACAAAACAATAGCAAAAATTATTCAGTCAGATACTTGAATGCAGGTTTCTTCGTGTATTTCTGGTAATTTTCCTTCCCTGTCTTAAGAACTAGCCTATACTGCTGTCTCAGAGATAGCAGTCCATGTTATCAACAGTAATGCAGTTTATATATTTGTACATATTCCTTACATTTGTAAATATATTCTTTGGATAGGAATAGTGTAGTACTGTACTAATAATGCAAGAAAAAACATCTTTAACCTGTTGTTATTGTTTGCTCCAAACAAATAACTTGCCAGGAAAGGGTTTCTCCAGTTTTTGCAAAAATCAGTGTAAACAGGACAAAACACTACTCRGAGGTCAAGTTGTCATTCAGTTCTACAGATGCAGAAATGATTAAAATKCAGAGTTGACAACATTGATGCAAACAGTCTAATGAGATGTGGAAATTCAGGAAATTGAAAGGTTCTTTTAATTCACATACAGGTTGAAGGCATCAGCTGTTGTAAAAGGTTTTACCTAAGAAATTAAAATATATGAGTTATTTTGTTTGTATCTTGTTTTTATTATCAGCTGTCTGACCTGTGTTCAGAAGAGCTTTGTTTCCAAAGATTATCCTGTCTTCATGCTAGTGATAAAATATTTTTCATTTAGGAAAATTCATGAAGTTTTCAGATGAATTGTCATACTACCCATATCTGGGTGTGTGTATACCCATTTGTAGAACTGAATATTCATCAAGACAGAAGAGCAAGCATACATTTCTATTCTTTAATAAACCTGGGTAAACTTGAAAAATCTGATAAACTTTGCTTTGAAATAAAAGCTAATAAATAATTTCAATTTTAATTTTGTTAAGAGGTATGGTTTTGGTATTGACTTCTTTGAGATATAACTGTAACTATTTACCTTCTAGATTCGTGGTACCTTGAAAAGCTGGACCAAACTGTGGTGTGTACTGAAACCAGGAGTGTTGCTTCTTTACAAAACTCCCAAAAATGACCAGTGGGTGGGAACAGTGCTCCTGAATGTTTGTGAACTCATCGAGAGGCCTTCCAAAAAAGATGGCTTTTGTTTCAAACTTTTTCATCCTTTGGAGCAAACCATATGGGCTACAAAGGTTAGTGGTAGTATTTATGGTTCTTAAGGGTTGACTGGCATTAATCAGCTATGAWTAAAGACAACTGTAATGAAAAACTGAACTGTGTTTTTCAGTTTTTTGCTTATTCTGAATATAAGCCCTCAACATATAGTCCTGATCATCAGAAAAAGTATTTGATTTGTGCTGCTCTGTGTACTTAAAGAGCTTCAGTAGTGTGGTGTGCAAAGGGATGTCATTAGGAAGGTTAATGCCATCACTGGCAATCACATAAATGAAAGGAATTAGTGTTTAACATTGTATTTTACATCATTCAAATYTTAGAAATTAAGGTGAGATTTGCCAAAATGAAAGAGTTTTCTTATAAACATTTCTTGGTGTCCAGCTCTATATTAATGTAATAAAATGTTACCTTAGTTCAATTTGCTTGTAAGAGTCAAAATGCAGATTACTTGCTTGTGCAATAACTTATATTGCAACTTGTTAGCCAATTCTGTTCCTTTTTGCTGTGATGTTGGGAAGATAAATGTTTTGATTTAGTTCTGATGTCTGTTTGCCTTGTCATACCTGGCATAGTATTGTTAGCAGCTCTTCCCTGTATTGAAAAGCACAGTGTATTCTGCAGAGCAAAGGTTTATTTCAATATATTGTAAGGATCTTTACTGCTTGCTCTTACTCATTGTTTACAATCTGATGAACTATTGTAGTCCTTGTTTTATGTTTACATGTGGAGAGGGGATGGGGAAGCACAGCACAAGTGAACAAACTTCCCTTCTGAAATAACATCTTGCTTTAGATGAAATTGCTGTACAATATTAGGACTGTTATAATTAATTATTTATACCCTCTTCAATATACAACTTACAGTCTCACAATTAGTACCTATCTTATCTTCTAAATCTTAAATTGATATAGATGTACTGTCACATTTGTAGAATATGCTGTGTTAATTTTGTCATCCTTTCCTTAGGGAAGTCAGTACAATTCCTGATGCTTGTAGTCATTCTGGATTGTTATTATTTGTCAGTGTTATCTAAATTTACCAAACTTAGATCAAATCATTTGTAGTTTCTTTTGAATAATTTTATTTTATTATTGCTTAGGCAGACTTTTCAATAATTAGTGGTGATCTCACATTTGCAGAACACAAACTCCATATCCTTTTCCAAAGCTATAGTGTTTGGTGTTAATGTGCTTTATTATTCTATGTATACATACATTGCAAAGTGGTGGCCTGTCTGCAGAAGATCACAAATCAGTCTTATATTTCTTTATTGCTTGGCAATGAGAAATGGATTTGTTTGTTTTTTTAACTAGATATTTAGAATTTAGAGGACATGCCCCACCAGATTTTTACTTTTTTAAGGTAGGTCAAATTTTCAACCTGAACAAGTTGATATTGTCCATTCTAAATGTGCTGAGAGCTGGAGTGGCRTTTGTTCATTTTGGTATGGCTATTTGCAGTTGAGAATTACTAGATTCCATTAGATGAAAGGCCTTTTAAGTTTGAAACTTTTTTTCTGCCTTGTTTACCTAGTCAGTCTTAATGTCCTAGTTACAAATTTATTATCATGAGACAAACTTGCATAAGTGTAATAGCAACCTACTTAATCTAGCGTAGAYGTACCAAAAAGAGCCTCAATTCCAAGGCAAGATGAAACTTGTTTGCAGGTAGTACAGAAAGATAGCATAGCAAAAAACATGTATAGAGGTGTAAGTACTGCAGGAGATTTTCTCACTTGAACACACTTCCCACGGTGTGTCCTGGCAGACTGCAAATTCTCTTCTGCAGTAGTTTGTGGCCAGTCACTTCATATGCTCCTTTAAGCCTGTTGCTGTGGTCTTTGATGTTCCTCCTGCGCTYGAGGTAACCTTGTTTTGTCTTCCTTGTGTGCCTGATCCTGATGCCATTGCAGTTTTCTGAAATTAAAAACTAGAAAAGTTAATGCAAATAATATTTTTCTGAGTAAATTTAGTCAGGGGTGACTGTTTATCAGTTTTCATTGTTATGCTTTAAAGCATGTTCATGGCATTTGAGTTTTATTGGCATGACTATTCTGTAAGAAGCAAACTTCAAAATTTTTTTTATCTAATGGAATTTTTAAGTTGACCATTAGCTTGGAGTAGTTGTAGCATCATTCCATTAGGAGCAGAGACAATCCAAATAAAGTCACCCTGCAAATTGAAATTAATGTGCCTCTTACACAGATCAGTAACTACTGGAAATTGGRTGATACCAAAGAAAAGTATCCAGTGCCCTGGGAACAGTAAGAAATTAGAGGAAATCAAGAACCTTGAGCAGGATTTTATTTGTATAAAATAAGTCAATTTACTTAAATCTGCACTAAAAAGAACTCACTTGGTTACTTGATATATTGTTAAAACACTTAGGCAAGTGCAACTTTCTTGCATTAAAGAAAAGCAAAACCAGACACCAAAACCACCCTTCATCTCTGAATTGTAGTTGTTTGGAGTAGCATACCCTAAAGTGTAAACCTACAGGGCAGATCTCATGGGCASAAGTCTGCCCTTAATGTATGTCCTATGACCCCAGAGTTTGAAGGATTTCTGATGGCTGAGGCCTGTGCCTCTCTGGACAGCACCCCAGCACCTCTCCCACCCCTGCCTGCTGGGGTGCCGTGGTGCTTTCCCCTCCTCTGGTGAGACTGGGCTTCTTCCCTGCCTGCCTACCCTTGGGGCAAGAAATGGTCATGCATTGGGGTTCTCCCTCTTGGTTCCCTGGTRCCCACGAGCTCCTAATCCCCAGTGTTGCTGCTTCACCAAAGACTTTTTGTGAGAGACTTTCCAYTCTCTCAGAGGGAGACTGAGGTTTGGAATCTTGTTTTAACAGCCAATTACTGTTACTTTGTACTGACTCTTGCGGAGTTTCTGAACATCATTTACACCAGCACTAGCTTGTCTGGTATTTAAGTGCCACCAAGACTACTTAACATGCTTCTCACCCTCAGAAACGTTCTGGCTGTTTCATTTGCTTGCTTCTAAAATTATCTGCCTTTATCTGCTTTTGCTCAGAACTTCTGCTGACTTTCCAGTTCCCTCTTCTAAGCCTTACACTGACTTTCCATCAGGCTTCTCCAGGGGAAATCAGTAAAGATCAAAACATATTATCTCATCTGTTAGGCAGACTTAACCCAGCTTTCAGCGATAGCTTCAAGTATGTTTAATACAGCCCTCTTTGCCTATCAATTGTCTTAAAGTTAGCACAGGTAAACTTTTTTTGGAAGGGACTTTAAAATGGTTATTTAAGATTTTATTCTGAAATAAAGATTGACAGAAATGGAAAGGTCTTTTGGATTTTTTTTTAAATATTAWGTGTGAAGAACTTCACAGTGAAAATAAAACTTTGGCTAAGTCTGATTTACACACCAAAAAAGGCAAAAAAMMCCCAAAACTCCAAACCAAAAACAAAACAAAAAACCCTAACCAAACTGAAATTCATTTTAATCCCAAAGACCATTCTTTTTAAAAGTGGGCTTGATTTGGGTCCTCTATTTAGAATGAAGTCTTTGAAGAAGAAATCCAKTGAAAGAGGGCTGTCCACATTTCCATTCATGTCCTCATTAGATGTTGCTAAGTGACAGTAAATAGCCCTGCAGTGTGTCAGCTTCTTACTACATTGAATGATAAACTGTAAAACGAAATTAAAATATCTGATGCTGTTTCTTTTTTGTGCATTTCAAGGGTCCTAAAGGAGAAGCAGTTGGTGCTATAACTCTGCCATTGCCCAGCAGTTACTTGATCATCCGAGCCGCTTCAGAATCAGATGGTAAAGAGATACTTTACTGATTTTCAGCTGTGACAAGAGTTAGTCACAGATGGTTTTAATTGTCTGACCCTGGCTGTTACAGCACTTCGATTGCAGATTAATTGTTGTTAAGGTTCTGCTTTAATTTAGAGCAGTCAGTTRTGTTGGTATGAGGACTTTTCATGGTTATTAAAGGAGAATATTGTCCTGAAGAAAGTGTTATTGAACTCCCTGAGATTGCCTTTTTTTGACTGCGTAGAGGAGGGGGAAAGGTTTATATATTATTTAGCTATACTTGTGTATGTCTAAATATCAATTTAGTGCCTTTGTAAAGTACTAATACAGATTATTCTTATTAAAGCATTTCTGTGTTAAGTGCAGCAGTTGCATACAGTTGTAGTAGTAACATAACTTTAAAACATAGTTTTAAAATGKGAAGGTGGAGATCAGTGCATCTAGCTTCTAAAGTTACAATGTGGGGGAAAAAATTAAAGACTATTGTGTAGTCTTTCTAGCAGGTGCTTTTCATCTACTGGTTAATTAAGCATACCCCTGTAGACTTTAAAAATAGAACTGTGTTTGCCTTCTGTATTGAGAAAAGGATTTGATACGTGGCAAAGAAGAAGAAGTGGAAAGGATACACACATTYGTTTGGTTTCTTTTTGTCAAAGAAAATTAGAATATCTGCTTTTTATCTTTGGAAATGTTACTTATATGCTATCATTATAACTCTTTTACCACTATTATCATATTACTTGGGCAAATTTTGCCACATGATGCAGTTACTTAGTTTACAGAACTGGAGCAGGGCTGCAAGTAACTTTGGAGGCATTCCACAGTGATGGCCTGAGTGGAACCAAACTTGCACTAAGGAAGAYATGCTGGAATATGCTCTTAACAAAATCCTGATTTACCTTGCTTGTCCTGCCCTGGGTAGTTGTGAGTTGTTTTTATGCCCCCACCAGATCATAAAACCCAGTGCACATAACATGGAACAAGTCTGAAATGTGGCTTCAAAAGCTATTGAAGCAGTCCCAAAGGATGCATTTTCCCTGTTAGGAAAGGGAAGTAAGTATAGTTTTGTTAAATCCTTAAGTTTTAGTCTAATACTAAATTTGTCTTTAGGCAGGTGTTGGATGGATGCTTTGGAGCTGGCACTGAAATGTTCAAGTCTGCTGAAACGTACAATGATCAGGGAAGGTAAAGAACATGATTTGAACACCTCAACAGACAGTAATGTCTCTCTCTATGGTCTGCTTCGTGCTAACAACTTGCACAGTGGAGAACACTTACCGTAAGTGAATTAATCACTAAATCTGATTGCCTTTTGGCAGAACTTGGATAGTGATAATTCTTCCACAGGGAGACGAAGGTTGCAGTTTATTTTGCTCCTGAGTTCTCTTTATATGCCTTATTTGCACTGTGTTTTATACCCAGCACATAAAACGAATAATCTTTTTTTAAGCTAAGTGATCCAGAGGCAAGTCTGGCCCAAGGTACTTGAAGTATCACATCAGTAGSTTTAAGTACTCAGTTAAATTGTGCAAGATACAAAAAATTTAAATTTTAGGTTGGTATCTCTTGTTGACTTCAGTGGAAAGTCAGAAGCATCAGATGGATGAATAATCATTCAGTCAATTTGCRATTAAATGCATAAAAGTTTAAATGTTATCACCTGGTATCTGATGTCTGAGTGACCTGGAGTTACTCCCTGCTTATTTCAATAAATACTTTCAGCTGGGTTTTTGTGAGCATAAGCTTTTGTGGAAAGAAACTGTTAAGTGTAGTGAATGAATGATTGTAGTGAGTTGACTGGCTGGRTGCCAGGCRCCCCCAAAGCCTGTCTCTCACTATCCTCTGCAGCTGGATAGGGAGAAAAAAATTAACAAAGGGTTCCTAAGGTGACATTAGGACCAGGAGAGGTCACTCGCTAAAAACYCATCATGGGCAAAACAGGCTTGAATTAGAGATATTAACTGAATTTATTACTAACAGAATCTGAGCAGAATAATGAGAAGTAAAATAAMACCTTAAAAACACCTCTGCTCTGCCCCTTCCTCCTTTCCAGCTCTAGCTCCTTCTTCAGCAGTGCAGAGACAGGGAATGGGGGTTTCCAACTGCTGCTCAGGGTGAGGAGTCCACCGTGGGGTCCCTTCCTCAGGAGATAGTTCTCTGAACTTCTCCAACGTGAGTCCATTCCACAGGCAACGCTTGGGCCATTCTTCCATCAAGTGCAGTCCTTCAGGCACAGCCTGCTGCAGTGGGGGTCTCCCACCGAGTCACAAATCCTACCAGGAAACCTGCTCTAGTGTGAGCTCCTCTCCCAAAAGATCTGCAGGTTCCTGACAGGAGCCTGTTCCAGCACGAGCCTCCTGTGGCTTCACAGCTTTCTCTCAGGCATCTGCCTCAGTGATCTTCCACCAATTCAGGGGAAGAYTGAGCTGTCCATTTGTCTTTTCTGGGTGGGCAGCAATTTTGTACTGCTGTTAAGTGTGCCCTCCCAGAGAGAGACCAGGACTGGAGAAATGCAATTCTTTTTATGTAATGCATAGATGGTCTGAGAAAAGCACAAAAAAGCAAATCGTTGCCCCTTGCAACMAGTCAAGGCCATATCCAGATGACCAAGCTTGGCTCAGCGTCAGTTTTGCTCCTCCTTTTATCTCACAGAAACAATATAACTGCTGTGTACAATTGAGGTGGAGATCTGTATTCTTGAATTGTAGTTTAATTAATATCAGCTGTTAGCCCAGATGAAATCACAGCAATTAGCTACAATTGTTAAGTCTAATTAAGACTAATGCTTTAATTAAGTAGATCTTTTGATGTAGCATATTCTAAGGATATTCAGTGTGCTTAACTAAGGAACAAAACTGGCAGGTCTAGCTTTAATTGGGTTGGCAGCCCAGGGAGAAGAAAGGTGAAAGCAGTTTTAGTTCAACTGAGAGCTTCTTTAAGTAGATTAATAGCAAGAAGCTCTTGCTGAAGAGGGTCACCTGCAAAACAGGGATGAAGAAAAAGCGGGCATATTCGGTATTGGGTATTTTTTTTTGCCTTCGTCATTAATACCACTAATAGACCTTGGGCTGCCTGATCCCATTGAGTTGGAGGCCCATGAGTGAGGATCAGTGACTTTTCATTTGTTGACACTGAAATTGTAAGAGAGCAGTTGTATCAGCTGCATGTTTGTAAATCCATGTGGTGTGATGGGATTCATCATAGAGAAGTGGAGAAGCTAACGGATGTTGTGGCAGCATCTCAGTTGAGCTGGTTGAAGAACGGGGTGAATGGCAGGACTCAAAGACATGTGTGAATGGGGCTGTATCTGGCTGGTGACATCAGCAGTGTTGCTCAGGGCTCAGTCATGGGCCTGTTCTGTTCGGAGTTTTTATCAGTGATCTGGAGCAGGAGTTGAATGCACTCTTAGCAAATTTGCTGATAGTACCAAACAGGGAGGTGCTGTTGATGCTCTCAAGGGATGAGAAGCCTTGCAGAGGGATCTATATAGCTGGTCAAGAGAGGTAATTATGCCACTGAATTCAACACTTGTGTGGCCTCACCTTGAGGGACGTCTGCAGTTCTGGGCCCCAAAATTAAGAAAGTTTGTGAAGGTTCTTGACTGTGATCTGAGGAGGGGTAACAACCTTGTTAAAAGGCTGGAAGGCATGTCCTGTGAGGAGGGACTGAGAACTTTCAGTTTGTCTAGTTTTAAGAAAAGGAGGGTGAGAGGCTGATAGCTCTTACAGCTTTCTGAGGAGGGAAACCGGAAAGGGAGGTGCTGAACTCTTCTGCCTGGTATGAAAGCATGGGAATGTTTAAAGTTGCATCAGAAGAGGTTTAGACTGGACATTAGGGAGCATTTCTTTAGCCTAAGGATGGTCAGACGCTGGAACAGGCTTCCTAGAGAGGTGGTTGATGTCCAGGCTCATCAGTGTCATTTGAAAGTCCAGTGAGAAGAATATACACCCTGTATGTTTCCAGCTAAACTAGTTTGACACTGCTACCACCTCAGGCTTGATACCTGGTGTATTTTGTTAAGATTCTGGTTTGAAAGCAATGAAATTACTATAAAGTTGAAGATTCATTTAGCCTTTTTCTCTTAATAGGTTAAATGACAGTGAAATTGAAAGACATCAGTTTAAAGATCAAGATACATACTCTGACAAGTCTGATAAGGAAAATGACCATGACCACGAGGAATCTGATAATGATGGATTGGGGAAAAGTGAAGAAAGTGATAGCGACACATCGGAGCGACAGGATGATTCTTATGTGGATCCAGAACCAGTTGACATCAAGGAAACAACTTACGTAGAACAGAGTCATGAAGAACTTGGGGAGGTAAAAGTGCTGTTGATGTACTGAGCAAGCAGCTTCTCCAAATAGAAAGCTGATATTTTAAGGATCAGATTACACTTGAAAGCTGACTTGCAGGATTGGCTTTCATATTTTCAGCAATAATGGCAGGAGAAGGTTCTGTTCACCTATACTCTGCTCTGCCTTGCCACTCTTGTGCTAATGTAAAGGTTTTTACAGAGGTAATGAAATTACCTGGAATATTGCTCAGACAGAATGTATAGAAAGGGCTGTCTGCAGCAGCAGTTCGTCATGACTACTTGTTCTTTTGTTGTTACTTCTATTTGAGTTTTGTTAACTCAGTGCTGTTTTTTTCTTCAAGTAAAAATCTTCAAGTTGAAGGTTTGAATGCAACCTGACACTTCCTTTTTCCATTGCAAGRGAGAATTCTATTGCAGAATTTAGTGGAAGGCTTGCTCTGTTTCTGATGTCACTTGGAATTCTAATGATACCCCAGAGCTGCCATTCCACTTCTGCAAGTTGTTTTATGTATTTGCCTACACAGGCAAATAGGGCAGAGATTTGTAAACCAAAAAACTTACTAACAGAAATAAGGTTTTTCACAAATCTCCCCTTTCTCCTTAAGAGAAATGGTTGTGAGGTTTTTTTCATACCCATAGAACTTGCCTACCTTATGCTTTAGTACTCAGTAGTACCGTGTCTAGACAAAGCAGTGTTTTAGGAAAAGCTGAGGAGTTTTAAGCGAGATTTTTATGTATGCATTTTAGAACTGTTCTGGAAGGGGGATGCCTTTCTTTGTTTTTCCTACAACCATTGCTTTTGATTCCAGAAACTATAAAGGGTAATATCTCCCCTCTTCTTGGACAGAAAGAAGCGTATTGGAGTGTGGCTGCTGGTTTTGCTCAGTTACCACTAAGTCGTGTATTTTTTTTAAGGAAAACCAGTGATGCTACTGATTGATCAAGGCAGTGAAAAGCATAACTATGTCAGCTTTCATAGTTGGGAAAAGCTAGTAGAATGCACAGCCCTTTGGTGTATAAATCCTGCATGTGAGAAGAGAGTGATGTACTTGATGCCTATGAAAGGACTAAAGGGGGATTTCCAAACAACATTCTACCTCAAATCCTTCCAGTGTAGGGATGAGGAAAACAGATGCAGTTTTAATGCTGAATAGTGTATCTATCATACTTCATTTAAGATCATAGAGTATTTATAGAAACTTGATCTTACTCCTGTAGTTGCTTCAGCATCTGTGAGTGGTTTATTTTACATATAGATTTCCATTCTTACTGCAGCCTTAGAATGTGTTGACCTGTCTTCTGGAGGATTGTTTCCTTTTTCCTTTCTGTATGCATTTTTTGGTTCATCCTAGGCAGGGGAGGCTGCTCAGACAGAAGAAGTGTCAGACGAAAACAAAAGTTTGATCTGGACACTATTGAAGCAAGTCCGACCCGGAATGGACTTGTCCAAGGTTGTACTGCCTACATTTATTTTGGAACCTCGCTCTTTTCTAGACAAGCTGTCTGATTACTATTACCATGCAGACTTTCTGTCTGAGTAAGTAAATCCTTTCATGCTCACTATTTTTAAAATTAAAATAGGATAACTGTGTCAAATATTGTCATTTTATGAAAGCTGATGGCCTTGAGAGCTCATGTGGTGCATCTTAAAGTCTGGCCCCTCTGAGTAATTGAATTGTGTTGCAGGCATTTCTGGTTTAGCTTCCAGCACTGGTTGGAAGACTTCTGAAAGTCCGTTTAATTTTTTCTCAAATAAGCATATTTAAAATGAGAAACCAATAGTAGTTATTTTTTTAAATACAGTGTTAAGTTCTGTCTAGATTTATAGTTGCCTGCTCAAATGTAGGTAATAAATTAAAAACTGTAAATTGAAATATTATTCAGCTCAGAGCTCTGCATGTAAGTAGGCTGGTAGTAAAAAGATACTAAAGTAGTAACCTATAAATGGAAGAACTTGAGTGTGGGTAGAACAGAATTTAATGTTACAAAKAATAGACTCAAATACTATTTCTGACATTCTTGTTTGATTCCAGTTTTCAGACAGTTATATGAAAACTTTAAATTTGGTGAGATTGGGCTGAAAATTTTACAATGCTGCAAATCACAAAACTGTTTTAGTCAGTTCATCAATTCAAGATATGTCACAACAATTGAATATGTGTTAGAAATGATTCAATACTGATACTTGATCTGTSTGTTCTGTTTCACAGAGCTGCTCTTGAAGAGAATGCTTACAACCGTATGAAAAAAGTAGTGAAGTGGTATTTGTCAGGATTCTACAAAAAGCCAAAGGTCTACTTCCACATACTATTTTGTCTTTAGTCATTATGTCTAGTTTGAGGTCTTAGGGATAAGCTGGAGTAAGTTTTGCTTTTTAAATTATATTGTTCCACATTTTTTAAAAAAGCAAGTTTAGGTTTTCATTACTTACACAAACACATCATGGAAATTTTTGGTCCCTACCCATGCTTAAAATAGACTATATTCAATTGCATTTGTCCTTTCGAGTAGAAGTTGAGCTAARTATTTTTTAGAAAGTTGAGCCAGTTCCATATTTACCATTCTTCAGTGATAACAGTCTGCAGTTGGAGCACTGATGTTTCCACTGCTTCATTTAGCTTTGCACTAAATACTCTTCATAGTCACGTTGTTGGGAAATAGTRTTGACAAAAAGTACTTACTGCCTCACTTCAGACAAAGACTCTAATAATTCTGCAAAAAATCCCCTTATATTCTGTGTGTCCTTACATGTAGAATATTTTAGCGGATATACGGAATGTATGAAGATATCTCTTCAGTGGTAGACTGGTAAAATGTTCTGTGACTTGTGTACATGCATAGTATAGTTACTCTATTCTATTTCTCTTTAGGGACTAAAAAAGCCGTACAATCCTATACTTGGAGAGACTTTCCGCTGCATGTGGATTCATCCAAGGACTAACAGCAAGACTTTTTATATTGCAGAACAGGTAGCTGCAATAACTGGAACAAATATTTTTAAGAAAAATTAACCCATATTGTATCTTTGTGCTAGTTAAATTCCACGGTAGTTTCAGGAAATATATTGAAATGTGTAAGTAGTATCCTAAAACCTCTCCTGGTGGGCATAGTTTTCTTACAGATGTCTTTTTAAATGTGCATTCCTAAAGAAGACAGAAAGAGAGAGGAAGGTGTTTTCAATGTTTCTGTTCCCTCTTCCTCTGGGAAAAAGTCAAGTGCTAATTTTCTTAATTCTTGAAATTCAGTAGTTGTTTTCTTGATCATTATCTCTAAAGATTTTAGTCAAATTTCACATATATTAACTGCATTCTAATATGTGCAGCCTGAATTTTGCAGTCATTGTTAGCACAAGGTCTATAATATGTTTGTTATATTGCTTGTTCTTGTTTTTCTTTTTTTTTTTTTCTCTCTCAAATGTGTGATTTTTTTTCCAACAGGTATCACATCATCCTCCAATATCTGCCTTCTATGTTAGCAACCGCAAGGATGGTTTTTGCCTTAGTGGTAGTATTCTGGCCAAATCAAAATTTTATGGTAAATAATGGGGGAGTTCTGGTGGTCTGTTTGTTGAGAATGTAAAATCGGTGCATGTGAGCTGTGTTTTCTGGATAAAAGAAGGCTGTTAGAGGAGTCAGTGTTTTGGTTGTTGTATTGTCCTTTTCTTAAAGAGTTTTTGCTACTGGTCTTTAGAATTTTAATGTCTACTTTTGAAATAGTTAAAATTTTACTTGGAGACACAGTGTATTACTAGAGGCTTCACTAAACAGGATACATTGCAGTGCTAAATATACTGATATTCTTAATTGTATTGCTCARCTGTTAGGGAATGTTGACTGCTGTCTTGCAGGGTGAGAAATGTGACAGTCTGTCTTTGAATTTCAGGGAATTCATTATCTGCCATACTAGAAGGAGAAGGACGGCTAACGTTTCTAAATAGGGGAGAAGATTATCTAATGACAATGCCATATGCTCATTGTAAAGGTAATGGGTTTTCTTCATTCTCTAGATGGTAAAGTTATGAGACTTTCGTTGTTCTAAATAGTTCATTATTCCAAATAATGTTCTGTGTTGGATTCAAGCCTGTCATCTGAGAAATGTATTCTGAATATTGGCAGCAGTGGTGGCTCTAGGCTTCCACATATTTTATCAGGAAAAAACCCACATCTGTTGTTTAGGTCATGTTTAATGTTTGGCACAGAAAAAGATTCTTTTTTTCATAAATAGTAAGAAATAGTAGGAGCATATATGTATATATATAGTTATCTGTCACTACATTAATTTAATGTTTGAGTTGCCTGTTTTAGAGCAGTTTTGAGCTTCTCCAGTATTTTCCTCTTGTAAACATCAAAGGTAGTGCAATATCTACACCACAGTGTGATTTGATTGTAAATCATGAACATTTGTCTTTAGTTTCCCTATGGGAAACCAGCCAGTGTTTTGTAAAGCTGGAAGTTCAGTARTAGCACAAAATACATTGCAGAATTGCTCTTTTTTAAGCTGTAATTTTTTCAGTAGTGTCTACCCATGTACTCCAGAATTCCCTTTCAGAATAGGTAGAGCTCTCTTTCAGAAGCCTGACTGTAAAATCACCAAATATAGTACTTTCTTCCTTTGAGATGTTAAAAAGMTCAATTAGCAGAAATAGGTAATTTGTCATGAGTTTAAATTTCTCTCTTTCCATTGTTTTTTAATGTTTTTAATATTATGTTGTATTTGTTTATAGCTTTGAAGACAAAAATAATACTTAACCATTAAAGCACAAAACATACAGCTATATGTTCAGGTCAAAAAGAAAGAAGGAGAATTAGTATTACTAATAAAGCTGATGGGGGAAAGGTAGAAGAAGATGCAGAAAAGGCATATTTGCACATGATCCAGTGTATGTGAAAATATATTCAATGTTTCAAAGATTGGATTGAAGAGGGAAAGACAGTAATGGGCAAGAAAGTGTATTCAGCAGTGTCACCCTTGTACTTTCAAAAGTGCACTTGAGGGAGGTGATCAGAGTTGTCGTATATTGGTTGTCCATGAATGCCTTCACCTGTGGCCTGACTGTATGTACTGTGTCTGTTTCTGTGAAGCTTTTCTTTGCTCTCTTTGTCATCAGTTGTTGTCTTGTCTTAACCTAGAAGCTTCCCTCCTCTAGCCATCTCCAGTAAGACTAAATATCACCCTTGCTAGAGCCAGCCGTATGTGCTGCCAAAGTTTTTTCTTCATGTAGAAGGTTTTTCCTGCTTGTCTGTTATTCACTTAGATCTTTTTGTTTCTGTTTGGGTTATCTTATTTGGCAGAAAAATCATGATTATCATTAGGAAAGGACATCTGAAAATAAAATTTTTCCTCTGGCACAAGGATGTTTACTCTAGGAATTGTACCCAAAGTAACTTAAGAGTTTGGTTTTCTCAGTTAAAAACATTTGTTTTAGCTGGGGGTTTTTGTTTTGGGTTTTTTTTCTCTTGCAGGAATTGTTTATGGCACAATGACCTTAGAGCTTGGAGGAACAGTCAACATCACCTGTGAGAAAACTGGCTACAGTGCAACAATTGAATTCAAACTCAAGGTTAGTAAATGCTGTGAGTGGGCAAAAGATGGAGAATTAACATGATGTCCACTCTCATAGGCTAAACAAAGATTTCTAAACTACTTCTAGATGGCTTGCCCTTCTGAAAAATGCATTGGACATCTCTGAGGCAGAAACTGATTTAAAGATGAAAAAGCAGTTTTCAAGAAATGTGCACGATGAGAGGGAARCTGTATTCAGTTGAAATTAGAGGGGAAACACAAAAGTTGAGAAACTGTCTTAAGTGACAGTTTGCGTGGTCAGTCCACAGAATACATGTGCAGCCTATCAAAAGGCTAAAGAAAATCACTGGAACTAGTTGTTGTTCCTACAAAAGATAATCTCTAGTAACAAAGGGTCCTTTGCAAAGCCATGAAATTGGTGTAGCAAATGACTGTGTCCTTCGGGATATGACTGTGTCACTGTTTTCTGTATTCTTTTCTGTTTTCTTTCCACATTTCTTAGACAATACTTTTACACAGCAAATCTTTTAAGAATAAGGGAAGAAGACTGGTTTTAGACTTCTTTTGGAGATTAAATAGGCAGAAGATACAATACTAAAAGCTGTCAGGGCTGTTTAYAGCACATTTTATAAATGTACATAATTTCCTTAACACTAAACATAAACGAAAAAGATGTGTTATTAAAAGAAACATGAAACCATTTCTTTTTATTTTGCAGCCTTTTTTGGGTAACAATGACAATGTTAACCAAATATCAGGGAAAATTAAGCTTGGCAAAGAAGTTCTGGCTCTTTTAGAGGGTCACTGGGTAAGTAGCGAGTGATGCTCTTATATAAATTCTGGCTGATGGCTGAGACAGGAGAAAATAGCACTTAAATACAAAAGACTCATGCTTTTTAAAAAGTACTGCTTTTGTAGAAAGTATTCAAGAAAATAGAGAATCAACATTGCTCTATTTGCAGCTGTTAAAAGGTTGAAAAGTGCAAGTTTAAGTAGTTTCTGAAGAAAATGAAATGTTTCTTCACAATGAAACTTTTGAAATATTTTGGTTAGTACTATGCATTAGTACTATGAAGAATTGTTATGGCACCAGCATGAAATAAGGTTGTTTCAGTTCTGGTGAGGTGACATGGCATCACTCATTTTTGGATGTGATAATGATTCCATTGCATTTCTGTTCCAAGCAAGAACCTAGCACAGAGGGTAGAAATTGAATTTTAAAGTCAGCATATCTTATTATTCTTAACTGCATTAATTCAAAAGAATATCAATTCTTACTACAAAAAAAAGCTTATTCCTTGTTTTTTGTTATTTTGACACTCTTTGAGATAATTACAATTAAGGTAACCATGTCTGTTACAGGACAGTGAAGTTACTATTAGTGACAAGAAGACAGGTGCTTCAGAGACATTCTGGAACCCAACATCTGATATTAAGCAGCGTAGATTACATAGATATACTGTGAAGTTTGAAGAGCAAGATGACTTTGAGTCAGAGAAGTAAGTTCCCTTTAGAACCATGTCTTTATTTTACCAAAATAAAACTCACAGTGTTTTCCAAATTATCAGCAAACTATCATTACTTTCCCATGTTTGATGATACAAGAAAGTAACACTTTTAAATATGATATCGTTATTTATAAATACAACAATCATGGAAATCTTGATAGAAATCTAGATAAAGCACCTGTTAAAATGGTAATATTCTGTGTGGAGGGTGGTCCATTTACTTAGTTTATAATTGATGAAATMATTTGCAATTATTTGTCAGCCAGATTGTGACTATGTTTTTCATTTGTCAGGCTTTGGCAACAAGTGACAAAGGCAATAAATAATAAAGACCAAACAGAAGCTACTCATGAGAAATATCTTCTGGAAGAAGCTCAGAGAAAGAGTGCCAAGGAGAGGAAACTTAAGGGTGAAGACTGGACATGCAAGTTGTTTGATCAGGATTCAGTTACGGGAGAATGGCACTACAGATATGCTGAGTGAGTCTTGGGGGCATGGTAATGTTGCTGAGCCTCTTCTATGGTTTAAGGAGCAAAAGAACTCAGACATAGAGCTTATTTATCTATAATATCTAATCCATACTATGTTCCAGATTTTCTTGGGCATYGCACTTTGGGGTGCACTGTCCTCCCTTTTTCCCCCTACGCTGACCAGAGCAACTAGACGGATTCCCCAAACTGGAAAAGATGGTACATATGAGCATACAAGCTAGAAATCATAAAATTTAGTGTCTGAATATCAGAAAAGCCTATGCTTAGTTGGATTGAGCTATTTAATTTGTTGTTATATATTAGAATAACTCTGAGAATAGCAGGTTTACAGCAGTAGTTAATGCTGGGACCAGGTGGCTCTGCCTGGCTGTCGAGTATGCCCCACACACGAGTRTGTGTTAATCTCTCTGTGTGATGCTCTGGATCAGGAGATGGAAGATRTAGTGGTCTCTGTGACTGCTGGAAGGATGCATTCTGTGTTCTCAYGAATGTTGCAAAGGTCAGTTTGAAGCTGAGTCCTTTACTAGCCATGGTTTTCACAGAACACCCATATTCAGCTGATGCTTTTCAGCACCRAGCATGCTTTTGTATTGTAAAGATTGCAAAAGTAAAATAGTCAAAGATGATACACACAGAGTTGAATAACTTTAAAGCCATGGATGCTGGAAGTATATTCCCATGGCTAAACCTCAGAGGGCCTTACCTTTCTGTACATGAATGGCAATACTGAGACCATGGCCTAAGTGTATATAAAGGGAAGAGTACAAGAATCCTGAATACTCTACATGTCTCCAGCAAATTTGCAACATGGAGGTTTCTTGGAACCAAACAAGGAATCTGTGTATTTAGCAACTCTCAGTTTCTTATTTTCAACTCTTGGTAAATTTATTTTCCATTAATTTCATTGGTTTCCYATTAAATTTGTGCAGGCGTTCACCACTGAAAACAACCTGGAGCAGGGAAATGCCCCAACAAGACTAAATGCTCTGTGAAGCATCCTCTCTTGGTTTGAACCCTCTAGTGCTGTTGATGCCTCTTCCTGTTGGAAGAGTTGTGAACGGTCTAGCTGAATTAACTGCCCTTACTCTTGAACCCTGTGTAAAACCATTAGGAAAAGAATTGTACTTGAAATCTATTAGACGATCCCCTGCAGCTTTAAGACCTGTCTTGTTAATCTGCATTATTTCTGATGTCCTTGAGGCCTTGTGATTTAAGGATATGCCACAGAAATTTTACTATGAGCTGGAAAGACTGTCTGCACTGTCAGCATTCCCTGGAAGAAGTCTCATTCTGCTTTTAAGCACGTAATGCTGGCTCACCACCTGGATAGAGAGCAATCTTYTGCACTTACTGTGAAAGATGTGTTCAGTGAGCTGTAGCATTTGTTAAGGCATCTGGATTATGGATTTAGGCATCCAGATTACAAATGCAGAAAAGAGCAATGCCTAGTTCTTAACCCAGTTACCTCAGATGACATTTAATTCAAGTCAGGTTAAGCTAAGATGTAAATGCAGGTCTATGTTCACAACATCTGAAACAGCTACAACTCTTTAAAAGGCATGCAGGAAGACACRAAAGGAAAATCCGTGCTTAATCTACTCTCACTAAAGCTGTGCGTCAGAACGTCCTTACTGCAGCTCACTCGCAGTTTCTGTCCTGACCAGTCTGTAATCACTGGGGACATTGGTCTTTACCTTTGCCTGCTTGTTCTTCATTCTCCAGTGAGCTTATGTGTCTTATGCTGTTGTGKTTYTTTTTTCTTAAATTCTGTATTAGGYTGTAATTGGAAAAGCACTCTTAACAAGAAACTGTGCATAGCTCATTAGTGTCTCAGATTACCATTAATCACTTTGGRATGAAAGCAGGTTTGAAGTAACTGATTCTTAAACTCTCCTTCCTAGGCATTTTTAAAAGGAAAAAAAAAGAAAACAGAAATCAGTCTAAATATTTTTAAATTCCCCTAATTTGCCTGGAATTAAAATAATAGCTATCTGAAGCAGGAAATCTCTCCATGTTTGCAAATACATATGATTGGCAAAAAAAAATCATAATGATATTGTTGGTTAATACAATAGTTTGTAGTCTTACCAGCTGGCTGGGGGTTTGATCTGGATGTGAAGTTCATTTTTTGGCTGTGTTGGCCCTTTAGGRTAAGACAGGACCATAGGTAGAAGATAAGATCATGACACAATGTCTGATTTCTATATAGGGGGAGAGTTAGCCTCTTCAGACTGAGTCGTTTCTGAGCAAGGAAATATTTCTTATTTAAATTGCTGTAGTGTTAATAATGCTCACTTTCTCYAGTACCAGACCATGGGACCCTTTGAATGATATGATCCAGTTTGAAAAAGACGGCACAATCCAAACGAAAGTTCGACATCGGACACCAATGGTATGTTCCAGTTCTGACAGCACATGCAAGATCCAGGAACATGTATTATGCATTACATGAATAAAGATCATCAGAGCATTGGAACTAATGGGAAATGCTGTTTTCCTACAAAAATGTTTGCACAGTCCAAACAATGTCTTTCATTTCTGTTGCATCCTAAGCTRTAAAGGTGACTTGATTGAACAGGAATATAAAGTAGGTAAAACTTGAGCTTAGCAGTTTAATGTGTATTTTCCCTTAAATGGGAAGATGCACAAAATTAAGACTGCTAATACATCAAAAATTTTAACTTGGACTCTTACATATTRTGCTATTAACTGTTGCTGTTGGAATGTGCTGTGTTCTGGTTGTCTGAAAATAATACATAAATTTATCAATTTTAGGTTACTGTTCCAAAAATGAAAGTAAAGCCAGCCAGTCAGAAGAAAGGAGAGTGTGGTTTCTCATCCCCAGAGCCTGATAACCAGGATTCCTCTGGAAGTGAAGGTATGAAGAGATACGTTTACATACAGAAGTAATAAATTTATTTGACAGCTGAAGAGTTCACTGTCACACATATGCTTCTTATCACAATGTTTTTATTATGTTTTACTTCTATCCAATGTGAAGCACRTTCTGGAAAACAAAAGGAGCAGAATGGCTCATGTTTTTAATTGCAAATTTTCCTGTCTTTTTAAATGCAGTGTAGGTAGGCTTAAGTGCTTCACATATTTAATACCTAGGGAAAAATAATGGTGTTTATAAACTCTCTTATTTCCTAAACATGAATTGTTTTAATTTGTAGATTAGTATGTGGCTAGAGGGTAGATTTTTGTTATTGATAATGCTTGCAGAAACTTAAGTTGTTGTCCTGTAGGTGACTGTGAGATGCTGTAGGTGACTCTAAAATAAAGTTTTCAATAGAAGCTAGTTAGAAAAACTTTCTTCTCATTTTTACAGAAGTTTAGTTTGTCATTCAGGCATTTTCTTGTTTCTTTTATGGCAGCAGTCATTTCAGTCGATTACATCTGGCTTTTATATCCTTCTAGCACAACTTCTGAAGCTTAATACAAGAATAAGGAAAAAAGGGGCAGACCTGGGTGAACTGCAGAGTGCCATTGAGTCTATAAAGGACACACAGGAAGACATTAAGAGGTAGTACTAATTAAAATACTTTAAAATGGTTTAGAGAATAGTAATTTAATAACTTTTTTTTCCTTAGAGACTGACATGTATCTTTGCTCTTCCCAAATAATGATTGCTCATTGGTATTTCATAGCTTTTCTCTAAAGATGCCTTCTGTAGGAAGCCTAAAATAGTAGAAAATCTCAAATTGTCTTGTTTGTAATTTACAGGATATTGTTTTTTGTCTTACAGGGAGATCTTGGCACTACGAAATAGAGTTGCTTCTAATTCATCACCTTGGAACTACCATTCCTTGCAGTTTAAGCACTATGTCTTCATTTCACTCATGGTTGTGCTACAGCTTATCATTAATTTCTTGTTCAATAAGAAGTGAACAAGGGCCTTCTTGAAYTGGAATGATTGAACTGTTACTGGGGACCATATTTGAAGCTGGACTTTAAATGATGCAATATTATGTAAAAGCAACAATTGACAGAACTTTGCCTTGGCGTTCATGGTTCAGAATCATACTTCTGTCTACCCAGTTGCAGTAAGAATTGTGTAAGTGCCAGTACACTCTTGTTCCTCCTGGTGTGTGCCTCTGTCTCGCAGTCATATGACATCAGCCTTGTGTTTATATTGCATCATACACTGTACTGATGAATCTTCACCACAGAATAGATCAAGTTAAACATTCAGAGGTCAGACCCTGTAGGTAGGATGTGATTCCTATTTCATAGAATGATAAACAGGTGTACTTCACTACATATAAACTTATCATTTTTGTAACAAAGGAACTTTTGAAGTAGCCAACAGCTTTTGTAAATGGCATTGGGTGTTTGGAAGTAAACTTTTGCATAAGGTCAGACAAATACATTATACAAAAAATCATGAGTGTTAGGAAATGGCAAGTAAAAAGCCAAAGTCTTTGGTAAATCTGCAGCATAATGTCCTTGATTTGTTTGAGGTTTTTATCCTGAATTATTATGGGCTTGTAAGCCAGCTGTTTTATAGTTTTAAAACTTAAGATTCATCATAAAAACATTCCTGCATCTACTGTACAGAGCATATTTTTAACAGTACAGCACCCAGGGAGGCACTGTTTTGGTCTGTTCTCTCTCATGAATTGCAAATGTTGGGGATTTCCAGTATGTTTGTAAGTCTTGATAAATCTACAGCTTTGAATTTACCTTTGTGTATGGCCATGTCACACTAAGCAGACAGACTGCTGATGCTAGGACTCTTGGTTAGTTTTGAAACAAAATGTGAAGAGGAAGAGGTGTGCTTAGTGTATAGCTTGAACTGGATCTCCAAAAGGCAATGTAGAATAGGATTCAGGCACTGTCATGAGTACACCTGCAAATGAAAATGTGTGTGTTTACAGAGGGAAAGTTCAGAAATYGTGTGATGGCTAACACCACATATCTCAAAACAAATGAGAGGAAAATCCGAGTATTCATGAAATCCTTCCTTACTCCAAGTATATACTACCTACCAGAATACATGAATGCACCTTCTTAGTATGCTGTAATCATACAATTTCATGTGAAGCTTAAGTTTCAATTGAGAACCAGGGTTTCTAAAATTTTTTTTGAAGAAATATATGCATGTATAGAATTTGTAAAATTCCAGCAAAAAATTTAGTGCTGCTGTTTATCTGGTGAGTTCCCTGTGCCAGTCAAGCATACCAAGGCAGAAAGGGGCTGCAGAATTGCAAAAKTATTTTCAGTATCCCAGCTGAGACAACAGAAGGATGAGTGGCCTGTTGTGAAGGACAGCCAGGTTTATTTCCAGAGGATCCTCTCAGAAATCAAATACATCCTGGGCAGTGAACAGTTTGAAAGTCATATTTGGCTTTTTGCCATGGCCAGGTTATCCCTCTGCCTTGGGCAGGCTACCTGACTCTTAGGTAATCTGCCTTTCTGTTCTGCATCAATCTCACTGGTATTTAGTGAAAATATTGTTTACTCCTTTGTCTGTCCAGCTTACATATTTCTGTGATACTTTTGACATACCTGATACTTTTCACATACCTCCCCTTTTATCTTTCCTCTTCCTTGGGCCTCAGCTATGTAAAAGTCTATTGCGTAAGTAGTGAACTTCAGCATAGCTTACAGCTTCACATTAGCATGGTTTGGTCTTGACTAATTTTTCTGGAACGTGATACGTTAACCAGATCTTGTAGCCATGGATAAGACCAGACCTGGTTGGATTTCTGTTAAATCTACAGCTGATAAGGAAAAATCTGTGAACACAGGAAGTCCCTTTGTAAACAAACAAAAATAGTTACAAATACCTAAGTCTCTAAATGGAAACCGAAGTTGTTACCCATGTATGAAATGGCATTAAGAAAGCAGAATATTATGGCATTCACTTACGGCTTTCAGCCTGGAATTTGGCCATTCATTATTGCATTCAGATGTCAAAGCTTCACCTGTCTTAAGATCCATTACAAGCCTTTAAACATATTCTGAACATGAGAATAATCCAGTGAGTGAGATCTGGGCAATAACTTCAATCCCCTAAAATAATACTCTGCTAAATTTGTGGTGCTGAAACTCTTGACTGACAGTTACCAGCTTTTATCTTCCTTGTAAATAGCTATGTCCTTCTGCCTTTTCATGTTAATTTTAAAATTATTTCTATTCAAGAGCAGTGAATAACAGAGTCAGCATGCATTTGTACAGAGACCACATGGTAGTGACTGGATTTGACCCAGCCAGATGGACAGTGTCAGTCTAAAGAGATACTCCACAGCTGACACTTCATGCTCAGCTCAAGAGAAGTAAAAGATTTGAACAGAACAAAATCCCTGTTTATTTTCATTTTCCACCTATTTTTTAGAGTTGAATTCTGTTGAGAAAGTGTTTTTTGTGATGATCTGGAAAGGTAAAGGATACATGGTGAAACTTTCTGAAAAGTAAAATTTCAGACTTCTGCAAGACTGTATGATTAGATACCTTAAATTCTGAAAAGCACAGTGAAAACTTAGTAATTCTTATTTTACTGGGTTTTGTATGATCTTCCCTCATTTGAATAGATCAAAGAAACTTCTTCCCTTTCAGTACAGTTGGTCACAGACACGTATGAGCCCTTTCTTTAGTGCGTCCCCATTATCCTGTTTAGCCATGATAATCTTGACTACTACCTAAGATTGAGCTCTGCACATATATAAAAATTGATTGTACAGTTTGCAGATGTTTGAGGGCTGTGGCCTTCTACTAGTTTTGAAAGTTTATAACAGCACTTGTTTTCACGTTTGATTTATAAATCTTGTTTTGTTTGGGTTTTTATTTCTTATACAGGAAATATCTGCAGAATTTATTGCCATGTGGTTTTGTTGGGTCGGTTGGTTTGTTCTCACATGCATTCTGTGCCTTTAATTTGCCATTTAGGTACAGGTTGCCTAATGGGGTACAGATAAACTAAACTAAGAAAAAGTAAATATATATGCCATGTGAAATGCAACAAGTATCATTTTCAACAGTAGATGATGTTTTTTGAATTTCACATGTTAATTCCTTTTAAATAGTTAATATTACTTGATAAGGGTATAYAACCTGGTTGTCATTTCCTTCCTCTCCCTTGTGAAATTTCACAAATTATTTGAAAGGTTGTCCTGTAAAATGCAGTGGTTGTGGTTTCTTCTTTTTTGTTGTTTGCTGCCCTTCTGTGCCTTTGGCAATTTTTTTTTTTTTTTTTTTTTTTTTTTTTTTTTTTTTTTGTTTATGAAACAGGCTTGTAATTCAGTGTTTCATCTTAAAGACTTTTCATTTTGGCTATTACCACTGTTTGTGTAAATAATGTGTAACAAGAATTCTGTACATCTCTAAGTTTTAATTATTTTTTATTTCAAGAGTACYCGCAAATCACAGAAAATTTAGCAGATATTCAAATATTGTAAACAGTGCCTTCTTGATGGGTTTCTATGCTGTTCTGAGACATGTAAAGATTTGTCAAATTTGTGCCATATGTAATATGAAACCTTTTGTGAGGGCTGTTGTGTTTGAGAACCGATGTTCCTGCTTAGTCAGACTCAGAGGGGGAAAAAATCAGTTGTTAAAACATTACACTATTCCCTCTTTCTGGCTGGTGAGCCCAGAGAATTTTGGATGGTTATAGTGAAGCTGAGCTACTCTGTAGTAACACTGAAATAGCACGAATGAAATAACTTCAGGGCGAGATTATCTGGGCTTTTTCTCCTTAATTTTTTCTCCTTTATGTCCTGCCCCGGCCTTTCGTTCTGCCAAGCGGGAAAATCAGCCCTCAGGACACAGCGCCCCCTCCCCCGTCCCCTGTGTCCCACCCTGTCCGACACCCGGGATCACCGCTTTGTGTCGGGGATCTGAACTGTTAGGGGCGCGCCTCCAATAAAGATGTGTCACACCTCCGCGTCTCTGGGCTCTATGCGCCGTTCCCCGGCCTGTTGTCCGTCSAGCGCGGCTCCCGCTCCCCGCGCCCCCGTCCCGCCCCTCAGCCCCAGCTCCGGGCGCGGCCGTGAGGCGGGGCGGGCGGAAGGGGCGGGCCGGGCCGGGCGG